TGACCTGCGTGAAAAGCTGAAATGTTCGAGTTTACAGGGTGGTCCAAAATTATGAGGACCGGCGCGCGGTCATATATCCACTTTTTTCCGATCGCTCCATTTTCATCTCGTTTTCTGTGCACTATGTGAAAGGGTACAATGTCTTCTTCCTAATGAAACCAAATTTCATGAAGTTCTCAAAACTAGTGAAATAACTACTTCACTTTAAGTCAGTCCTCAAATTGAACTCACTAGGGGCTCTGGCACGTTACATCTAGCAGCAGTCTAACTATCAGGGAAGCTCTTATGAGCAACAGTTCAACTCTTCAATAAGTTTGGAACCACCACAGATGGAAAATTCGGGACTCGAAAGTTACAGTTACCACCAGGATAATTATCAGATGCAGAAACTAGGTCTCCCCTTGTCGACTTTCGTACTCCCAAAATGAAAAAATTGATGTGAAAACCCAGCCAGACACTCTAAAGACTCCACATCTGTAGTGGATAGAAAGCCACTCGAGTAGTCTACTTGGGACTTTTACAGGACCGAGCACCCAAGAATAAAGCAAAAATCTCTAAAAAGCGATTTTTCGAGTTCGTTGCTTTCGAAGAATTGTTACAATGGAACCTTCCACCTAATAGCTCTAGATTTCTGTATTTCACACCCTGGATGCAAGCGCAAATAAATGCCCCACAAAACTTTGATTCCCTGAAGAAAGCAGAGCAGAAGGCCTGGAAACATTTTGACACGCCTCAGTTGCGTGCCACCGCACGCGCCATCCCCCTTCATCTGAAGGCTCGTGTAAACGGGGCAGGTGGCAGATCTCAATTCTATTCTGGAATTACTTTGAGATAAGAGTTACAAACACTTCCCTGAAGTTTGTTTGTTCCATCAAGCTACTATGCGTTTTTAACGACACAATGTCTTGGTCCTCATAATTTTGGACCACCCTGTAAATTCTTTTCGAGGTTGGTGCAGCACGTGTCACGAGCCCGTAGGTACGACATTCCCTTTCTAGTTCCTCCGACAGACAGAGTATGAATAGCCAGATATTTCTTTTTTTGACTTATCTTAAGCACTACGCATTACCAACTGTAAGACATGAAATGATAACTAACCGGCCAGCAGCGTTGTCTGACTGATCTCTCGTGGTCGTGTGACCCTGGAAGTTCACGTGGATCTGCCCTCTTGATGCTTTGTTCTCGTCAGCATCACGAAGTTTTTTCGACATATCTTTCAGTTCACTGTTGCTTATGACGAACGCTGCAAATAGATAACGTTGACCAAAGAATTGATTGTCTGAGTTCACCTCATTCTCATGAATTCAAACCTTGCCTTAGCTCAAATTTCACTGCACACTAACTTGATGTGAATTGATTTGTTTAGCGCACAATAAATTTTGCTTATTAATATCCAGGCAGTGCAACTATTTCTTGGAGTTGAAGGCATACCTACGATTAGGCG